AGCTCATTGACTGAATTTTTGAGAACAGTATACTTGCAGCTTGTTTTGATCCTAAACCCAAATGGAAGCATTTCCCTAGTAATTTCTTTGAAGCCCTTTGAAGTGTTGTGTTGACACCAAAGCTCTGGACCATTCTTCACCTTCTGAAAACACTGAGGAAGAGTCACCTTCTGGTCTCAAGAATGTATAAGCTACATTAATTTTTTTTTCTTTCAGCATAAGGAGACAACAAGAACGGAGAGCTATTTTAACTCCAATTTTAACAGACTTTACGGTGCGAATAACTGCAGCTCCTGCCATCATTTTCACAAAAGTAATTTCACCAGAGAATTTGCATACAGAGGTAAGTATTTGATTAGAAGGATATTTCCTTATAAGTACTTTATAGTACATTTATATTTTGGTAGCACCTCTTTGCAATAGTCAAAATGCAACATTAAGCAGTGTTCTAAATAGTATTCAAATACTTGGTTTTTCAAAAACCTCTGTTGTCTGTGGATTCTTGTATATAAGGCTGATATGGTGATTATTACCATATATAATATAAGGATAGTGGTACCTTACAATTTTCATGTTACAATTTTCCTTCGTTACTTCAATTCCTTAATTCAGACTTAGGGGCAAACTAGACAATACTGCGCCACCAGTTCTATCATGACGATGATGAAGCATCATTTTAGAGCCTGGGTTTTTTTATTTTTAAAATTGCCACAGGGGTCTGATGCTGCCTTGGTGGGATGAAGGGCTCGTCCCTGCTGCACAGTCTTCTCTCTCTAGGGGACTTCGGTACCTGGTTGTCAGGATCCAGTGCCCAGTCCTGACTCAAGCCCACCCTGGATACCTGAGCTGAGGATGGCCAGGAGCCTGACTCACCCATGTGAGAAAGAGGGTGGCAGCTGGGATCCAGGCAGATTGCGCCAACATAGCTGAGAACAAGGCTGGGAGTCAGGCAGCAGCAGGGAGGAGAGCGGTCAGAAGGCAAGGCCAAGCTCAGACTCTGGGAAGGCCAGGATGGGAGAGGCTAAGAGGCAACCCTGAGCAGCAAGGGGAAGGAACAGGGCAGGGAGACAGGCGGCAGGGAGAAGAGGCAGGATAAGCTTCCCTTTCCTTTTATGGTCTTCTGGATAGAGCAGGTGAAAGGAAAGAAAAGATTGGCTCTGTTACAAAAGCAAAAGCATTTTTGGAACAACACCAAAGTTCAGCGGAAGAAAAAGGAAAAGCAGAGGACAAAAATGCTACAGAAGATAACAGCAAGCACAGATTGGGAAGCACTGATAGCTCATCAAGTAGCTCTTCAGAAGGAACTCTGGACACTGAATCAGAATTAGGAGTGGCAGCTCCTAAGTCTCTTAAAATTAAGCTAACCTTTGATAAAAAAACAAACATAGGAAAGAAAGCTGATAAATAGCTTAACTCTGAATATATGACTTCTTTTTTATTATTGAAATACTAAGATACGCCTACTATGACTAACTATGCTTGTATTTGTTTGAACTAGTAATATTAGTAGCTAATATCCATCTTTTTAAAAAAACCTAAATATTAGGGAAACACCAAGAAATTGATGTATAGACTGTTATATGATCCTTGCTAACTCTGTATTTTAGTTTAGAAGATCCCTTATCCTTATTCCCTGTAGTGTGTAGAGAATAAAAGCAATTAATTTTTTTTAAAAAGCACACTAAAACCAAAACCATAACAAAGCACAGTTAAAAAGAAACCATCAGACAGCAGCGTAATTTACATGTATGCCATTAAATGAACCAGTAAGGTAGTGGTGGTTCAGTAAACAGGATACCTAGAACCAAAAAGGTTATATCCTTGAGTACTACCAAAAAGTTGTGTCAACTTGAGTTTAGAACCTGGGACCTGATTTAACACCAATCATGTAAGAAAAATGTGCCCATGCAGTATTCCACATAGCCAGCATCTGCTGAAACTGAACCCTTGCTGCATTATGCATCATCTGCCCAGATAACAAGCTCTACTTTTCAGTAAGTCAGCCTGGTTTAAACAAGATGCTAGCTGCATGGATTGCCTCATAGGTAAGCTTATTTTCCATGCCCAATGTCATTTTAAAAGAGTTCATTTTACTAAACAGAACTTCGCATAGACATCTCAGAGTAACAGATACCATAATCCAAACCTGGAAATGGTATCTTGGTTCTTTTTGATGAACAGCCTGAAGAAACCCAGCAGTGACTCAGAACTATTTGCTTATTCCCATCAGAGATCATAAGAGGCTGGATATGTGGCTGCCAATGCTCCCTCTAAGCTGTGGAGTCTTGTGAGCAAAAATTCTACTTTGTGAGCTACTGGCATTAAAGTTGTGAGCAAGCAATTTGGCTACTGCATAAATTAGTTTGCTCTGGAACCATCCTTCCTGAGCTAAGACAAAAATGTGTGAGCCAGAAGCTAAAAAACTGTGAGCTAGCTCACACTAACTCAGCTTAGAGGGAACATTGGAGTGTCACATGTGCCTTGATCCTGCTTCTTGCTGAAGCCATGCTACCAGTAATCCTTACTCCAGATTGGTTCTCATCAGGCTTTAGGCTCTTAATCTAGCTAGAACAGGAACCTAACTTTGATATGTTAGATCTTCTAAGCCACAATTAAACCCGAGGCATATATATGCAAAGCATCTCTGTTACTGAGCTGTGGTCTCTCTCCACACATTTCTACTGCAAACATGCAGAACTATAAATCCAGAGGCAAATATTAGATGAGTTAGCGTATTGCTGAACTGTAGAGAAAAGTGTTCAGTGAAATTTTATTGTTGCTTGTATTGAAAAATGTAAATATATTGGCTAGTCAAGTTCTCCATGAATCTGTTCCCTGGGTAACGTTCTTTGAAGAAGGGAGAGGTCTACTATAGATTACCAAGAACTTGAATACTTATGCATATGTTCTTCATGAAAAAATGGGATGAGTTCTTGCTTAGTAAGCAAAGATGAGGGTTTTTTCCTGCTTTCCATCTCTGAAATTGCCAACAATTCTCAAAAGTTTTTGTTGTTTTGTTTTGTTTTATGTGTAATACCAGCCATTGAATAACGGTCCTCAGACTCTAACTATTGCACTGCCAAGATGTCAACTGTGGCTTACAATCAGTTACAAATCAAGTAAGCTTGAGTTGCAGTACACAATTTCTTTATAAACCAAGATTAGTTCCTTTTCCAAAATGTGTATCTGTCTGTAAGAACTGAGAAAAGGGTAAGTGGAGTCCCCAGCCAAGAAAATGAAAAAAGGGCCCTGACAGCTCTGAATTTGATGCAACAAAGAAACCGGACCCCACACGTGAAACAAACAAAATGTATCTTAATCATCAAATATCCTGTTGGAAACATTTTGGTATTTTATCCCACCACTCCCCCACCTGATTTCCTTTTACAGATGGTGCACAGTACTTTTTTTTTTGCCTGAAAAGATAAGAAAATGTTAATAGCCCCAATTTAGAGAATATAATAGTCTAAAGTGATGCTTGGTTAAAAAAGAAAATTACATAATTTCCTAGAAACAGCTGGAATCCATTCACTATGCTTTATAAACTTGTTTTTCACAGGAGATTTTAGTTTGTGGCCATTCTTTGGAAGTGAATATGACAACAAGCCTGGACTTCTTCCTCAGTGTGGCTCAAGTACAACTTCTGCAGCAATTAATACAAGATAATATGGTTGCTTTGGAACCAGCCGGTAAAACTGCCGAGGTAACATACTCAGCTTTCTTGCTGTGCTACTGCACTTTATCTTGCTTTACAAAACTGAATTTTTGTCAGCATACTTTGGAGAGAATTATATATTATGCAGACTGCAAAGGATGCCACTGAAAATAGTATCTCCATGTCAGTTCCTTCCCATTAAGTGTAGGCTTACCTTACACATAGTTGTAACATGAGAGTCAGTGTGTAGCATGAGAGCCATTGTGGTGTAGTGGTCAAAGTGCAGAATTAGGATCTGGGAGATCCAAGTTCAAATCCCTGCTCTGCCATGGGAGCTTCCTGGGTGACCTCTCAGCCTAACTTACTTCACAGGGTTGTTGTGAGGATAAAATGGAGAAGAGAAGAATGATGTAAGTGTTGTTGTGGGCCCAATGGGGAGAAAAGTGGAGTATAAATAAGGTAAATAACAATACTTAGGCCTCATTTGGTGCCGGAGCTCACCGGAGCAAAGCTCCAGCAGTGAGGAGGCCAGGGGGCGGGGACATGTAGCAAGCCCCACCCCCTGCTCCCAGCAGCCCTCCCCTCAGTCGGACCGAGGAGAAAGAAGGACGGGTAAGTTGCGGTTCCCCCACCTTTCCAGGCGCTGGAAAGGCCCCCGCCACCCTCCTCTCTGCTTTTCCAGTCCTGTGCGGAGTGCTGGAAAGGCCCTTGCCACCCTCCTCTCCACATTTCCAGTCCTGCGCTGAGCGCTGTGCACTGGAAAGGCCCCCGCCACCCTCCTCTCCGCTTTTCCAGTCCTGCGTTTTTTCCGGTCCCCCCCCCCATAGGTAGCAATGCAAAGAGTCTAGTGGCACCTTTAAGACCAAGGCTTATTCAGGTTGATGCTCTCTGTGAGGGCAGATCTGCATGTCCCCCCCCCATAGGTAGCAATGCAAAGAGTCCAATGGCACCTTTAAGACCAAAGTTTATTCAGGTACAAGCTCTCCCACCTTCTGGCACACTTCCAGTGATGTCCGGGGGTGTAGCATATGCAAATAAGTTGTGCTAATGAGCTCCTGCACCACTTTTTCTACAAAATGACCCCTGACAATACTAATAATAAGAATAGCAATAATAACATTCTTCATAGTCTCTGTGCATCACACTGATGGAGCTGTGCAACTAAGCAGAGCAGAAATTCATAGAGGTATCTTTTGTGCACAAAAAAGAACTGAGAGATGCATCTCCAACCACATGTTACCAAGGAGGGAGATTTACAATTTCCTGCCCAGTTTTTTTTTCGTCCACTGCAGCAGTGTTAGAGAACTCCTCTCTTGTTCTTTTTTTTTTTTAGGGGCTCAGGCCTTCCTTGCCCTCAAATTAATAATATCAGTTATCCTGATTATATTTCAGCTGGGATCTTGTTTTCTTCTTCATCTTCCCAACTCCAGTTCAGAAGCAGAGGGGGCTTTTAATTCTTTGGATGTCAGAAAACCCTGTCCCAAGGAGCCTCCTTTTTAAGCACTGGTCAGACACACGCTGCTTAGATTCAGTGCTGCAGTATTCACAACAATTTGGAATTGATTTAGGATTGTGGATTAATCTTTTCCTACCAAGTGGAGTTGATTAAGCTGAACAATTACAACCTAGATGGCAGTTACTGACATGGCAGGAAGTTGCTACAGGAGGCATCTACATCTTTAACACAGAAGACCAATCTTTTCATTATTGTTGAAATGCTAAACAGAAGACATACAGTACAGCTTTTTCTTGGATATTATGCAAGCAGAAGGGCCTCTTTTGGAAGTCAGTTCTGAGATTAAGTATACTATGGGAATATTTGCAATAAATAACTTACAAGGCACTGTTTCCCATCTTTAGTGGAATGGATAGAATCATAAAGTTGAATGTATGCCCAGAATTTTAATTTAGGGACGTGTTGTTCAAAAATTCTGCACTTTGGCTGTAGAGCAGGCAAATTTGACAATGAAAATCATTTTCAGAATTATTTGCATAGTACTTCATTATATCCAGACAATGTCGCTCGCTCTTTTGATTCATTTTTGTTGATTATTGTAGACCTATTGAAGTAAAACACATATTGGTTGAGATTATAGTGTAGAAACATTGAGCACTGGTAAACTGACAAAGCACAAGGCTTTGCATGGAGCTTGCAAAGTAGAACTTGCTGTTAGATTGCATGCCTTTCGTGGTGAATATATTAATATGGTATGATTGGTTTCAGTACACAGGTATGTTGCATGGTTCATATAGGACCCTCAAGATACACTTAAGTATTTCATTTCCAGTACATAATTCAGTTGAGGTTGAAACCAGCAAGAGGTATACTAATATTTTTCTTGCAAGTAGAAATGTAGCATAATCGAATAAAAAGGATAGAAAAAATTATTCTTTTTGGATAAATAGTGAGATTACATAATATAAAGAAAAGGTTAAGAAGGAGGAGCTTGAAAATCACTAAAATGTCTGACAGTAAGCAATGTTAATAACTCACCGGTAGTAACTCACATATGTTAAAGATGCATCCTAAAAGCCCATCATAGTTTAGAAAAGAACATGAAGTGAACAAGAAGAGTTGGATTTATACGCCACCCTTCACTCGGAGTCTTAGAGTGGCTTACAGTCACCTTCTTTTTCTCTCCCCACAACAGACACCCTGTGAGGGAGGTGGGGCTGACCCAAGGTCACTCAGCTTGTTGTGGACACTGGAGAGACTAGTGTATCAGGGTATTAATGAACTACAGCCTAGAATATTGATTTGTTTGACCCCATGATTAACCTTTGAAGAATCAAACATCCCTTGGGGCATCAGAAACAGCATTATACCTGTCTATTCACATCTAGCATGGCTAACTCCTGACTTGCTGCAAAACCTGCTGCAATCATTGTCTTGGCAGATGAGTTCACAGAAGCCACAGTCCAGCAGAGGAGAGATGTTAGTGGTCAGAATACTGGGATGCAGGCTTCCTAGTGATTCACCTTTAAACAGGTCCTGTGCTGAACAATCAAAATGAGGTCATGAGTACTTTAAAAAAAAATCATTTAGACATAGAGACTATTTGTGTAATTGCTTTGGTCTCTAGCAGTATTGTTAGTTTCTTTTATCTCTTTTTAAAACCCCTGGGAGCTATACATATTAAATGACAGCAGGAGGATTTTCTTTTCCTGTTACTCCCCCTCACAGCCATGGGTTCATTTCCCTGAGAAATGAGCAGCCAGAAAGGCAAGAAATAAAGATTCAAAAATATAGGTCGTAGGTTTTCCAGCTCCCATTAGAATCTCCCTCACATTTCCTTCACCAGCAAAGAAGGACCATCTTCTGTTATCTGAGCGGCAAACACCTCCTCCAGCGGGCATCCCTTTGAAGCATCCACAAATTCAAAGTTCAAAGGAAAATAACAAAAATATTCAGGGGTTTTGGCTGATTTATGATCAAGGTTTTTGAAGGGGTGTGTGTGTGTACACACACAGAGAGAGAGAGAGAGAGTCTAAGAAATGACTAATGGAAAAGAGAAGCCATAAATCTGCAAATACTTGCATGATGTAAACACCAGGGGGAGGGGGGGCTTCGCAAAAAATCATTACTTCTCAGATACTGACTTTTGGACTGGAATTCTCTAATGAAAAGATCAGAAACCCTTTATAGCAGATTATGCTGCATCAAGATGGGTAGCCATGTTACTCTGTCTGTTGTAGTATAAAAGAGCAAGAGTCCAGTAGCACCTTAAAAACTAACAAAATTTGTGGTAGGGTGTGAGCTTTTGTCAGATGCAGCTAGAATGTGAGTTCATCTGTCCTTATAGCCTGGAGAGTAGAATGGTTTCAGATGTTGAAAGACAATAGCAGACGTGATTAGTTTAGGTGCGATATGCAGTGGGGTAGTAGGCGTGAAGAAATCAACCTTGGTAATGAGACAGAAAATCTAGGTCTCAGTTCAGTCCAGGAGGCTGCATTGTCTTGAGCTTCATTATCAGTTGCAATTCAGCAGTCTCTCTAATCTCCCTTTGAAATTTTTTTGCAGGAGAACTGCTACTCTTAGGTCAGCAACTGAATGTCCTGAAAGGTTAAAATGTTCCCCCACTGGTTTTTGAATGTTGTAGTTTCTAATGTCAGACTTATGTCTATTTATTCTCTGTCATAGGGACTGGCTTGTTTGTCCATTGTAGAGGGTGAAAGGGCATTGCTGCTGACATGTGATGGCATAAATCACATTAGAGGATGACCAGGGGTATGAACCTGAGATGGTATGGCTGATGTTGCTGGGTCCAGTGATAGTGTTGTGAGGATCTGTATCAGTTGGTATGTTGGCTTGTTGCAGACCTTGGTACCAGAGGCCGTGTTATTGTTAAGTAGTTTATCATTGCAGGTGAGAATTTGGTTTAGGTTAGCTGCTGTCTGTAAGCAAGAAAAGTTGCCCCCCACCCAGTGCCTGTGTGAGGCACGTGTCACTATCCAGCAGGGATTGGAGGTCATTAATAATATGTTGAACTGGTTTGAGTTGTGAGCTGTATGTTACCAACAGTGATACTCTGTTGTCATTTCCTTTGGGCTTGTCTTGTAGCAAGCTACCCCTGGGTATCATTCTGGTCTTTCCAATAATCTTTCTCACCATATCAGGAGGATATTTTAGTTGCTACAATTTAAGAGAATCTCATATTATTAGGTTGTTCAGGGTCAACTGAATCACATACTAGAAATAAAATATTTCAAAGTATCTTGGTACTGCTTCCTGCTCTATAAAACTTTGTATTCAGTGGGTTGGATCCAGACTAACATTTGTGTGTGCAAGGATTTCCGCCTATAAACTGCAATTTTCGCACCTCCCATTTCTCATAGCAGCCTGAAATCCTTATAGCAGCCCCAGTCCAGTTCTGGAAGTTTTTCTCCCCCAAGAACTGGATTTCAGATGGACTTAGAGCTTCTATGGAAGTGGGGAGGTGGGAAACTTGTGCTCCATGGGTGGAACTCCTTGTGCTCACGGAAACATCTCGTCTGGATCCAAGCCAATATATCTGTATTTATAATGTACTCTGTTTAGGCCACCTGTA